ATGGGCGTGTCAAAGGCAATGAGATTGGCACAGGATAGAGCACAGTTTAGGGCTGTTGTACATAGGGTCGCTATGAGTCGCAAACGACTCGACAGCACATAACAAACAACATCATCAAAAAGAAAAGTGAATTGGGGAGGGGTGGGCAGGGAGAAAAGTGCAACAGTGAATGAATGGAAATCCAGTCTCTGTAAACTTTCATTAAAATTAATAAGTTTAAAAAAAACACCCAGAAACAATAGATGAATGAAAACAAAATAGAAAATATCTGATCTGACTTGACAAGAGCTATGCCGACAGCCATGACGCATTGCCACAATAAAACTATTCAGGCTGAATCTAACCTCCGCGTGGAACCTCTTCAGTGTTCAAAATGCTTTCGGAACTCCACATTTAAACCCCGATTGCCTCTCTTGTCACGCCATCCATTCCTTACGTGCTGGCGAGCAGAACTCATTAATGACCCTGTGTATGACAGATCTGAACTTTGTCCTCTTCAGCCAGCGGCACCTTCATCACCCACGGCACACCTGAGCTCACTGCTACAGTCACTGGGTCAATGAATCTTCCTTGAGGGTTTTTCTTCTGCAGACCCTCCACCAACCAAGATATGTCCCCTTTCCAAGGAATAGCCTCTCCTAGCAACATGCCCACATGCTGCCATCCTGGACTCTAAGCAGCCCTTTGGCTGCACTTTTCTCAAGATATAACTTTGGTCTTCTCCAATACAGTGCAAAGCCTTCAGTTCCTCTTCCGTCACTCTCGGTCACTGTCCAGCTCTCAGCTCCATGGCAAGCGATTACAATGAGGGAGAATTAATCTTTAACCTTGTAAGATTGAAAGGACAGCATTACTCAAGGGTAATGTTCAGAAAGCAGAAGGGGCATGAGGATTGATGAAAACAAGAGTCACAGAGGTAAGTCAGGAGGAGTGCATTTGCAATGTGGTTATTATAATTAATAGAAAATGTGTAGGAAGAGTTGAATGAAAAGTCAATTTGCTCTGAAACAACTCAAATCACAAATTAAAAGTGTTAATAAAAAGAAATTAATTTTTCAATTATTTTGACAGAAGTGTTACAATTATCAGAAGTAACAGTAACTAGAGGCCTTTCTGTATTAAGTTTTAAATTGCTAATATCTTTTTTTTTAAATGAATAAAACATTACTAGTCAAAAGTGTATTTGCAAAAAAAAGTGTATTTGCATGTGGAGTTGCCAGCTCAATCATGGCAAATATCACGTTTATGGGATAAAGCTGTTTCTAAGTTGGTATTCTTTTTGCCAAAAGAGGCCATAAAAAACATTTACATAGTATGTAAGTTAATGAAAACCAATCTTAATCAATGCTACCTTTTATTCAGAGATAAAACTGTTGCATTTTAAATTTCAGGCCAAACAAAAAGATTGCCAAATGATATACACAAGGATCATTTTAATAATGCATTTTTCTGCAGGAGCATTCATTGCTGGCTGTGGACGGACTGAAACTGCATTTGCTATCTGTGAACATTAGGAATCTTTACATGAAGACACATTGAAGCACCAAGAAAACGCTCCACAACTCACACTGAACGGTCTCGGGGGACAAATTCGCTTCATCACAGTTCTTAAGACCGTTAACACAGAACCTCATTATCTTCATTATTTATTTGATATCCTTCTCTAAAACTGTAATTATTTCTAAAACTTCTCATCCACTCAAGACTTCAATTTGTATGTCAATGTGCAATGTTTTTTGTGGGTCCTGCGTTTCTCAAATATTTCTTCAGCAATTTAAATTATCCACATTTTTCATTTCAAGTTGCAGCACCTGACTTAAGATCTTTATAGAAACAAGTTTAGATTAATTTAATGTAGCAATTAGAATTGTCCATCTCTCTAAGAAAACGTTTCCATTTCTAGATTTTCTATCTAGGATGATGTTGTTGTTATGAGCTGTCAAGTCGCTTGCGACTCATAGCGACCCTATGTACAACAGCCCTAAACTCCACTCTGTCCTGTGCCAATCGCACTGTCTCTGACACTCCCATCCCGATTATCCCAGTCACTGAATCAATCCACCTCATAGAGGGTCTTCCCCTCCTGCACTGTCCCTCCACCCTCCCAAGCATGATGTCCTTCTCCAAGGACCTGTCTCTCCTCACAACATGTCCAAAGTATGTTAGACGGAGCCTCAGAATCCTTGCCTCCAAGGAGCCACCCGGTTTAACCCTTTCCAGGACAAATCTGTTTGTTTTCCTAGCAGTCCATGGTATTCTCAATACTCTTCTCCAGCACCACAGCTCAAAGGAATCATTCTCCTTCTATCCTCCTTGGCCACTGTCCAACTCTCTGATGCATAACAAGTGATTGCGAAGACCATGGCCTGTATCAGACGCACCTTAGTCTCCAGAGAGACAACACTGCTCTTCAGTACTTTGGAGAGATCTCTAACAGCAGACTTTCCCATGGCAATACACCTTTTAATTTCCTGGCTACTGGTGCCAAGACTGTTGACTGTGGGGGCCAAGCAAACTAAAGCTGTGTACAATCTCAATCTCTTCACCATCCATCCTGATGCTGCCAATTGGTCTAGTAGTGAGAATCTTTGTCTTCTTGACATTGAGCCTCAATCCATATTGTAGGCTGCAGTCCTTGACACTGCATCTTCCCAGGTAATCGAAGACGCAAAAACCGCGCGACATCTTCCCCTATCTAGAATAGATGCAAATATTTCTGTAGTTCATTCGGGAGCTCTGGTGGCTGAGGGGTAATTACTGGTCTGCTGGATTTTATTCGTATCATTGTAGCCAGAATACGAACTGTCAATCACTTTCTTACAGAGAGTGACACAAATTAATTGTGCAAATATACTAAATTGTACATGTAAAAAATGTTGAAATGGCAGGTATTTTTGTTAAGATGTATTTTTACCATCATTTGAAATCAATGTGCACAAATGTGTCTTTGGGGCCTGCCCCCATGTGCTAGTACCAAACAGGTCTCCAGTTACTCTTGGGTCAAACGATTTTTCAACTTCTGCATAATACACCAGACTGCGAGAAGAAGTGAATCTGTCTCACAAGAAGTTCAGAGAGATGATCCTTTGAAGTGGGGATGGCGGGATTTTGTCTCGTATGTTGGAGCTGCAACCAGGAGAGACCACCCTAGCAAAAGGACGTCGTGCTTGAGAAATGTTGGGTGTCAGTGAAAAAGAGGCTGACTAAAACAGACAGACACAGAGGTTCCGAAACGGCCACAGCCGTGAGGACGTGCAGGACCAGGCTGTGTTCTGTTCTGCATGGACCGCCGTGGGCACGCGATGGCACGCACAACGCTGTTCTGCTGTGCGCTGCACCACAGGCTCCTGACCTACTCCCTCAACTGTTCACTTACATTCTTGGGATTAGGAAGACCATGTGATGAAAACACTCTCTCACGCTCAGGTTTATAGAGCACGGATTCTTTCTTTAGGACAATGTCCAGGGATTGGCTGAGCAGGTTAAACAGTGCGATGGCTGTAAGCCTTTAACATCCTTTCCCAAAAGTTTTCCTACAGTTGGGAACCTCTCCTAGAAACGGTGCATTACTGTACCCACAGAGAGGATTTTATAGGCAACAACAAAGCAGACTCAACCACAGGGTGATCAGATCCACATGCGTTAGAAGACGATCGTGCCAGAAAGGCCGGAGACAGACAGTCAGGAGATCAGAATGACAGAATTTCTACAGCTACACTTTACATCAGAAAGTCTCCAAAAGAAATGCCTCTTATAAAAGGGCCAGAGCGAATCTTCAAAAAGGAAAAAAGAGCGGGAGAAAAAGTCAGTACCAAATGACCAAAAATTTTTATTTCACTAAAGTTCTATTTCATGCGTAAGCACGAAAGTCTCCCCTGTTGATTAGACTTTGGCAATTAAAAAAAAAAACCAAAAACCAAAAACAAAACAAAACAAAAAAAACCCCAACAAAACAACGAACCAAGCAGCCTTGTACAGAACAGTGAAAACGCCAAGGACAAGGGTTGTCTACAGTTTAACTGTAGGATAAATAGATATATATTTGTAAAAGGCCTCCCTCTCTTTGGCCATTTCAACTCTCAGTTCAGATCATTAAATACAGACATGTTTCCAACATCACTTCTTTACTTCTCCGAGATCTTCAATGCTGTCATCATCCACCTGTGAAAGAAGAGAACTGAATTTCAAGAGGATGCTATCAGGAGACTGGCAGGGAGGCTGCTACCTCACACACATACAGGCTTTTCCTCAGATGCACAGGGTCAACCGACTCACCTCTGGCCACTTCTCCTGAATGACATCGATTATGTCATCTGTAAAATCTCCCTGAATGATGATCTCATCCTCCCCCGTGACTGAGGCACCGCAGGAGAATTTCTGAGCAAAAAATCTTTGTGCTTCTTTAAGATCAATTTCTGAGTTGTAACAAAAAGAAAGAATACTGTAATCAGAATTGTGGGGCAAAGAATTCTTCCATTTAAGAAACTTTAATCTGCCATTTAAATTCATAAAGCAGAAGAAGATTTCCTAAAACAGATTTCTTTAAGAGGCTTCCTATTTCTTTTAAACTACTGTATCAAGTGGTCAAATAAAGTACATCAAAAGGCATTACCCTTTTTTAAAATACACACACACACACACATTCTGAGCACTGCATTTAAAATAGGAGTGACACTCTTATTTTCATCCCCTTCCACAGAAGAACTGTTTACAACCCAGAAGCGAATCTCGATATTTACAATGACAGTTTTATAATATTTGTTGTCACATGAAGGAACCTTGTTTTACGTTTTTACCCTAGTTTTCACTACTGTCTCAAGGTCTCTGGGGACCAGAATGACTCTGGAGTCAGGCAGTCGGCCACTACCCGTCTCCCCCCATCCTCATCCACCACTGTCAGAGGGGACGAGTCACGGTCTATGCTCGGCCAGCAAGGCTGCACAGACCCCACAGATCAGACCACTCCCCGGAACAACAACCTTCTGAGATGGGAACTGAACTCACACAGGGAAGAAGAGGGTCGAGGGCTGCTACACGTGGGGAATCGCAACTAATGTCATTTAAAAAAAAGCAGCACAGAAACTGTCAAATGAAAACCCAGTTCTGTTGTGTAAACTTTCATTAAAAAGAAGACATATAATCAACCGACTGTAGTTAGAAAAGCATTTCTAACCTCATTTTGTCTTTTCTTAGTAAAAACCAGACGTGTAAAGTTTCTACGATCCCATGTTAAAAAGAGACAGAGCACGGCGTGCACCTTTCCCACTGTAAACGCACTCGGACCTGACCTTACCGAAGGTGGCGAGGCCACACACTCTGGTGACGTATTTCTTCTTTGCTCTGGGTATCTTGGCGATTGTCACCTTCTGTGGCACAGTCTTCTTTTTCTGTTTGATCTGACCCCTTCCACCTTTATTTAAGGAGAGGTCAGCATTAATACTTTGGTTTTTCCTATGACTAATCACAGAATACTATCTCTTTAAATTTAACTTTTCAAAGGTACAAAAAAATTGGTTTTTAAACATATTCCCTCAAATACAAAATCAGTAAACAACACGTATGAACATGCATTCAACAAACGATCATTGAGACACCACGGCAGCTTTGCTCAGAGGGCGTGGCTGGGCTTCTGGAGGACAAGGTGACCCAATCTAAGTTGGGTCTTGACGCATGAGGGGCTGCCCAGGTGAAGGATAATCAAAGGCTTTCCAGGACACAGGACAGGAACGAGCACAGAGATCAGAAAAGGGATTCTACTGGGAAACTGCACTCACTAGGATGCGGATTCATTCATCATGGATTACGTGGCAGATAAAGCCAGAAAAGCAAAGATCACAGACAAGTCCCCATGAGGCCAGTCCACCGAGTTCTGGCAACTGGGCACTGGCGAAGAGAAGCCATAGAAAGAGGCTGGAGGGGCGAAATGACCAGGGCTCCCTCGATGACAGTGAAGAGGGGGCTCACAAAGACAGCTGGAAGGAAAGGCAGTGAGGAGATTCCAGGACTGACTCAGGCAGAACTGGCTACAATCGGAGGGCAGACAGAGCCCGGAAGAGGGAGGGGAACTTACGACTGCACTCCACGTGCCAACGGACAGAGGCTAAGTTGGCTCTCGGGTGTGTGCCTTAGAGGTCTGCATACAGACTGGGCGTTTAGTAGCTGAAAAGCAGCAGACCGAAAGCAGACTTTTTTATTTTGGAAGAGCTGAGTCTGAGGTGCCTGTGTGACCCGGGCAGGGCCTAGCAAGGCAGGCTGAGGAATCCTAAGTGTCCAGTGGGCAGATCTGACGGTGCGTCTGGAGGGAGCTGCACCAACCGCCCACTGGCAACACCTCTCTGGCACTGAATCCACCAGTGGCTCTGCAGAAGGACAGGCCATCTCCTCACGTGCCATTTCCATCCTCAGAAGCCCAAGGGAGGGTCAGCCGTGAATCTCTGACAGCACAGCGATGAGGTTGAGGAGAGTGGAGTGGTGGCAGAAGGGAAGATGTGGCAGCACTATTTAGAGACAATAATCCAACGTTGTCGTGCTGATTCAAACACACAGAGACCCTACAGGAAAGAGAGGAACAGTCCCCTAGGCTGTAATCTTTACGGAAGAAGACGGCCTCATCTTTCTCCTGCCGAGTGGCCACAGGATTTGAACTGACAACCTCTCAGTCTGCACTGACACACTTAAATCTGTTGGGCCAGCAGGGCTCCTTCCTATCAGATGGGGAGAAAAAACCAATGAAGTCATCAGCTGAGAACAGGAACCAAAGGACACACTGAGGGGGTGGTGGCGTGAGAGGGGGAGCAGGAGAGAGCAGGGGCAGGTGGGGGACCAGCTACCAAAGCCTTCGAGGGCCAGGAGGAGGAGCGTCTGGTCCCGCCTTCTTGCTAAGCTTTCAAAAGTAACAAGGCAAGGATAAAGCTTACATAAATGCACCGACACTGGTTCAACAGGATGCACAGGCCTTTAATAACAAGGCAGCAGAGTTTTAATGCCGTAAACAATCCCCCCACGCAAAGCAGCAAGCTTGAAGGTCCAACACACTGCAAAGGCCCCAGTCACACCACAGCCGGGCAGCCCTCCGAGGATAGACTCTCACATCCTCCGGCCAATACACACGTGACGGTCAGGTACCAGGCGCACACGCTCGCTCTGGGAACGAATCTAAACACAGACAGGAGGAAGTCCTACCTCTCTTCTGCTTCTTCTTTTCCTCCTCCTCCCCTGCCGTTCCTTGACCCTCGCTGATTCCAGCTTCTTGTTTGGGGGAATTGCCTAGACAGACAAACGAAACGCAAAGGCATCACCACCGTTCAGACTGCCTTTAATGAAAGAAATCACCTCCCAAGCACGCCCAAACCGACAGGACACTTAGAAAAACCACGTTAGTGTCTAGATTCGAAGGACAGAAAGCAATAAGGCCTTTGCGAGGTGAAGATTAGGATTTTCTTTTTAGCCACATAAAAAACCCAGGTTCTGCAGCAGTGATAGGATTTAAGGAGATTGATTTTGTTACCAGGAAGTCTACCCTGGAGGAGAGATGCCTCGCCTCCAAGGCCTTCAACCCTATCCTGGGCAGACCACCCCCTGGCTAACTCTTAACACCACACGGGAGAGGGGGAGGGCTTCTCAGCTGACCACCAACGGTGCCTGTGCACTACCTGCCTCCAAAGGCCCAGATCCAGCTTCAGGGCTCGTGCTTCATAGAAAATCGAAGCAGCCGTGAATCACCCCTGGACTCTAGGCTGGTTTTTTGGCTTTATTCTCCGACTAAGGCGCTATGATGGGCATAGCCAGTAAGTGCTTGGCTGTTAAGCCGGGGGACCAGGGTTCACACCCACCAGCTGCTCCCCTCTGCTTCTGTGAAGATTCAGCCTTGGAGAAACCCCCCACGCAGCGGTCCCCTGTCCTGTGCCAGGTCTGCTCGGGTCAGAATCAACTGGATGAGTTTGTGTTGTGCTCCCAGCCTAGGTAATCCTGTCCACCAATCAGGCTGAACAAAGCTAATCTCTCCTCTCAGTTTCCACCCCAGGCACCCGCAGTGTCATTCTTCTAGTCACTGAGACCAAAACCTGAAAATGCCTCACAGCTCAGAAAACCTAGGTCGTCTGTGCACCTGTGCTTCCCCCGGACCCACGCAGCTCTGTCTGGAGTTACTGCATCTCCTGAGGAGATTCCTGCAAGGCTCTCCCCATCCCACCCTCCATCTATTCTCAACATGGCAGCCACAGTAAAGCTGCTCAAACAGGTTTCGTTCTGCTCAAAACCTGCCTTCTGACAGTGAAAGCCAGGATGGCTACAAGGCCCTAAAAAATCTACACCCCACTGTGCCCGATTCTGCTTCCTCCAGCTCCTTCAAATCAGTTCCATACACAACGGGTTCTTGGCTGCAGGCTGCCTCAGGGCCTTTGCACCAGCTGTGGCCACCACCTGACATGTTTTCCCACAGACACCCACATGGTTCACACCTCACCTCCTTTAACTGGACAAGCGTCACAAGAAGTGTGTCGTGGGATAAAACAAAGTCTGAAAATGTGCTTGTCCCTAAACCAGGAAATCTTTTTTCTATAAACTGACCCACTGAATCTCAGAAAGAAGACGCACAGAGTGGTGTAGCGTCCCGTAGAAGATATTTTAATCCACGAACTTAATGTTCCATGAAAAACCTCCCCACTGGCATCAAGCTCATTCCAAGCCACAGTGACCCTTGCAGGACATAGTAGAATTGATCCATAGCTTCTAAGACTGCAATCTTTACAGAAGCAGAGGTCTGGGTTAGCACTTAACTACGGTAACCAGCTACCTTGCAGCTGTGATATCCTAGGAATATTGCCTTAATTTTAGAAAGAACATCAGATACACATTTTCTTCAGGTCCAAAAGCTTTGATGACAGGAAAAGAAAATGTTCTTACCTACACTAAGCTTTGCAAACTCCTTCGGAAAATTCTTCTCTAACCATTGTCTACATTTAGCAACATCTGGCATGTATTCACAGTACTGGGGAGAGAAAAACAATAGATTTAACCATTGCAAGAGTCACAGCAGAACATTTCAATCAACCACATGTTTTCATGACAAAGCATTCCCTCCACCTGCTGTCCAAGGAATCATGGACCGACCTACCTTCTTCCCCACAGGAGAGGTATACCCTCTCAAGGGCCAGGAAACACATCGTCAAAAACCAGAAACTAAAAAGAGGGGTCAGGGACCGCCTCACTGGATCAATTCATCTCCTCTCCATCAGAGTGAAGGACCACTAGGAAAATGACTAAGTGGTTACAGAGAGGCCTGGGCAGACGGGGCGGAAAACGCAGAACAAAATCCAAAACCATAATGGAAAGCCAGATACCCTGGTTTAATGGAGGTTAAGGGGAGCTCAAGCCTGTGGCCCCCGACACCCCTCAACCTGGCACTGAATCCAGCCCCAGGATTTACCTTGTGGACAACAAGAGCAACACAGGAAGTCTATCCTCCTCAGCGTAATCAATCACTGATGATCAGAACAAGGGGCAGGAGAGAAGGATGGACGGAAAGCCAGGACAGAAGTAGGGAGGAGAGTGTTGTCGTTACATCCTGGGACTGCAACGATCGTGATCAAACAAAACACGTACACGCTCTGGGATGGAACACTAAAGCGCTCAGTAAGCCTTCACCCAAACTGAAAAGGAACAAAGAAACAGGACCAGGTCCCCCTGGGTCTTGCTATGGGCAGATAGATTGGAAGTTTATTAACAAATTCTAAAGTTTTGGAGACAATTTATGCTCACTTTCCCCTCTACTTGGTTATGAAGACCAAGATTCAAAGGAACCAGTGTAGAGGACTAAGAACCCACCTGGACCGTGGTCAAGGCTAACTGAGACCAGAGACCTAGAGGGTGCCTGGCTACCACTGCCAGTCGTCTGAGTGACACAACGGAGGGTCCCAGATAGAATGGCAGAAGGAGGAGATTAAAAAATTCAAATTCCGAGAGAGCTCTGGTGGCCTAGTGGCAAGAAGCTAAGCTGCAATCCTGAAGGCACGCGGTTCGAATTCACCAGATGCTCCGCTGGGGAAAAAAAATTCAAATTCCGAAAAAAAAAGACCAGCTCTACTGGACCAACAGACTAGAAGTACCCCTCAAGACTATCAGCCTAAGACAGTCTTTGAACTTGGAATGGAAGCTATTATTTCAGCCAAATAATAGACTGGCTTGTAAAATATACTATCACCAGTCAACATGGTCACTCCTCAGATGACCCTATGAAACCACAGTTAACATTTACCCAGAAACAAAGACAAGGGAGACAAGGACGGGCCTAGACGTCAGGTCAACATAAACAGGACGGAGGTAACGAAACCACTGACCCACTGTGGAAAAGGTACTCTATGTAATAAAAAGAGTTAAACGGGAACTTAATTTGCTGTGTAACTTTTCACTTTAAACACTTTAAAAAAAATGGTTACAATTCTGCTTAACTAGCTGGCAATTTTTGCAAAGGTCCAAACTGTATAGCCAACTGAAAAACACGTATGTTAGTCAAAGTCACCAGGATTTATGACCACAAAATTCCAAGAAGCAACAGTTCTCTCTCCTGGCTGCTGCTGGTTGACACTGACTCACGACCAAGCAGCGAACTGCCCCACAGGATTTGTCCGTGGCTGTGCGTCTTGCTGGAAGCTGACTGCCACACCTTTCTCCCTGGAGTGGCCAGTGGGTTCAAACACTGACCTTTAACTTTAAGGTGGTTTGTGCCGCTGAGTCAGAATCAACTCTCTAGGGGGTTTTAGAAGCTGTGAACAGCATGGCAGGACATGCCCCGTTTTCTCCTATGGAGCAACTCATGGATTCAAAGCACCTGTCCTTGTGCCCTCTTTAACCGCTGTTGCTGGGCACTGTGGAGTGAGTCATAACCGACCAGGCGCTGAGCCTCCAGCCGGTGTTCAGAGGCTGTAAATCACACAGGAGACTGCCCACCCTTCTCCCACGGAGCAGCTGGTGGGTTTGAACAGCGTGGCTTTGGGTCTGCAGCGCAGCCTCTTACTACTAGGCCACAAGAGCTCCTAACTTACCCATGAGAAAGCCTTTAAAGTTCTCTGTGCAAGACTGAGCCTCAACCACTGAATGACAAGGAAACTAGGAGATAGGCGAGAAAAGTTTGCAAGTTATCTCTAAAAAAAGGAAACGAAATCAAACCCCAAACCGTAATACATACAACAGACCATACCAGGAAACACTGTCTTTATGATCTGAAATCATCTGAATCACAATCTTAGCTGGTCTACAAACGAAAATTCAGACTGGAACCTTGTATTAGTAGTCCTTATTTTTTTAACATTGTTAAATTTACATATAATTTACATGTAATAAGCATATTCAAAAACCAGGGGGAAAATTGTAGCTGCCTAAGTTAACAAAAGGGAGTATTTGAAAAGGACTTACCTCTACTGGTAATGAACAGACTGGAGAAACGGAGACAAGGGAAAAAAGGAGAAAGATGTGACATTTTAACATAGGGTTCATTGAAAGACTTCATGTCTATTTTCTTCCTCTCACTTGTCCATATCCTGCTTTGTACATACATGAGTTTCCCCATGTGGGTTTTTTAAACCACACCCCCTCACTGCTGCCAAGCCAGCATCAACTCCCAGCTGAGCCTCGAGTGGGATTTTGGAGGCCGTAAGCAACGGGAGGGCACTGACTTTCTCCCTCGAAGCTGCAGGTGGAACTCGATTCACCTTTGGTTTGCAGCACTACTTACGGTTTCCACCAAGAGAGCCACACAGCGTCGTCACAGACACTATCTTGATTTCTGCATCTACCCAACAGCAGTCCCTTCAGTGCACTGTTCTTGCTAGGAACCCACAAACAGAATCTGATCCTAAAAAAACACATCAGCCCAAAACGAGGGATGTTCTACGAAATGACTGGCTTGTATCCCTCAGTACTGATGTCCTGAAACTCCTAACAGTCAAAACAGATGATCGTGTACACTTTAATTAATCTAACTCTATGTGTCCACATCAGTCTCTGAGAATCGGCATCAACAAGAAGGTAATGAATAAGGAAACACGCATGCCAGTTTTCACTGCTGAATGTGAGATTCAATTGTCTTTTTTTCTATCAAGGATATAATGTGGACAATTGAGAGAAATCGTAATAAGACTAAATAACAGCATCAATGTTGAGAGAAATGAGAATCAACAGAATATGTGTGTGTGAGTGAGAAGTCTGGAGGAAGACAGTCAGGAATTTTTATATTATTCTTAAAATTTTTCTTAAAAAAATTTCTTTATACTATGCAGGATGTTAATTATAAAATTTTGGTGGAGGTTAAGAGGTGGTCTCGGTAAATTTTTCTGTATGTTTAAATACTTTTATAATCGAAAAAGTTAGGGGACATCAAAGTAAAATCACGCATCATTTTAAAAGTTTTATACCAAGAAATGTGAAACATTCCAAGGTGAATTTCTCAACCGCTGCAATCTACCCAGCTGGCTCTCCAGGTCCATCTGCAGGATCTCTCTTTTCTGTGGGTGTTAAATTTATTGAAGCTTACTCCGTGACCTTATATATAGTCTTTATTACCACTGTTTTTGTGTTTACTATGTTTTGATAGGGATTTTTTGGGGGGGAGGCCGGTGATAAAAACTTGCATTTTGAATTAGCTGGACTCAGTTTAGAGGATCCCAATTTTGTTGGCAACATCCAAAGCATCATAGTCAGGAGCAAGTCGAACACAGGCCTTCTTCTCTCCATCAGGCCTAATCAAGGTGTTGACCTTGGTCAGATCAACGTCACAGAGCTTCTTAACAGCTTATCTGATTTGGTGCTTGTTGGCCTTGACATCCACAATGAACACGTGTTGTTATCTTCTATCTTCTCCATGGCTGACTCAGAGGTCAGGGGAAACTGGACGTGATGGTATAGTGGTCAAGCCTGTTTCTCCTGGGGGTGCTCCCCCGGGGGTATCTGGACTGCATCCGGAGTCTCAGCATCTTAGGCCACCAGAAGAGGGGTGACGTGTGAATATTCTTCTTACCTGTGGATGCCCTTCAGGATGCCTTCTTGTCTTCTAACGCTTTTGCTTTGGCTTCAGTTTTAAGAACAGCAGGGATTTCCTTCCTCACTATGGTGCCATCTCTGTAGAAAGGCTCTCTCCACGGATTTTTTTAAAAAATTTTTATTTTATATTGGTTTGCGTACAAAATTCATATACATTGTGTTTCACACTTTCTCAAGGATCTCCTTTTTTTAGAGCTTCTCTCTGTTCCTCAAAAAATATATACTTTCTACCATCAGAACCTAAGGCTTCTGGAGACCAAATCTTTCTTTCTCTTCCTCCCTGATGCCAATTTCAAAGCACTTGTACTCTTTCCTTCAGATAAATGCATCACATTGGGAAAAGGAACCCATCATTCATCTCCAAACGAAACCCTTCTCAACGTCACCACTTTTTTCAAGAACCTCAGCAACACGCCCAAGGTCGCAGGCCTGCTAAGTGCTGGATTCAGTAAGCAAAGCCTGCTCTAAGATCACATGGTTCGGATGGTAACACTTAACGACTCTTCTCCAATCCTTGGGCTCCAGACAAGGTTTCGTTACCACTCACAAAAACGCGGGGAACCCAAGAACGGAGACCTTGCCTGACTTCTTCACTACCTGGACCCCAGTATCTGAAACCCTGCTCACAAGTGCTCAGAAATAATCACTGAGAATAAATGCATTGACGTGAGCCTTCAAATTTTTCTCAAACATTCCAAGGCACTGAGAGAAAAAAAATACAGCACTTCTACACATAAATTGTTTATACTGAAAATGGTGGAGGGGCCATTCAAACAAAGCAAATCCTGAGTAAATAGACTATTTTGATGCTATTGCTCAATGCATAGTACAACAGAATGAACACTGCCTAGCCCATCCTCCTAACAACTCCCACGGCGTCAGTCCAGCTCAGTCTTCCTCTTTCGTGCTGATTCTCTACTTTACCGAGCACGCCATCTTTGTTCAGGGACAGGTCATAACCAAAAAACATCCAAAGTTACACCATCCTTGCTTCTAAAATCCGAGTTTCCAAATATATTTGTTCCTTTATCTGGCAGTCCATAGTATATAACATTGTCTGCAAATACATTTCTAAGGCATTAATTCTTCAATCTTTCTTACTCATTGTCCAACTCTTGAAACCATCAGGCAGCTGAAGACAACATGGCTGGAATCAAGTGCATCTTAAGTTTATAAAATGACATCTTTGCTGTTAAACACTTTCAAGAGATAATTCTGCAGTTCATACAGAGTACAATGTTATTTGATTCTTTTTTTTATCTGTGTGTGTGTGTGTGTGTGTGTGTGTGTGTGTACCGTCAAATTGGATCTGACTGGTACAGGAGGAGATAGTCCCTCCTTCCGTGGCAGAGCATCTGGTGGATTCGAACCATGTGCCTCTGGGTTTGCAATGCAGCTTCTTGCCACTAGGCCACCAGAGCTCCCCTTGTTATTTGATTCTTAACTGTTGATTCTGTGGATGTTGATTTTGGAACCTAGTAAAAATAAAACCCCTGGTAATGCCAACGTTTTCTCTGTTTATCAGATGCTACTTATTGGCCCAGAGATAGGATTCCTGACTGAAGTCTTTGATCTCCATCACAGAGCACTTAAAGCTCTCTTCACTTTCAGCAACAAGGTTGTGTCATCTGCGTATCACAGGTCTACCTCTAATCCTAATGCCACATTCTTCAGAGTCCAATTTATCAGATTTGCTTATTGTACAAAGTTGAAATCATGTAATACTTGTTAGCTGAGTTCAAATGAACATAATTAAGTTCCTAAACTTCCACAATGTTATCCATAATTTGTCAAATGGCTTTAAACAGTGAATAAGACTGATAAACATACTCTGGTCTGTACTTTGAGTCCAGAGCATTTATTTCTCATTTTCCCCAGCTTCAACTCGAATTTGCGCATGAGCAATTGATAGTGTCAATCTCTGGCCTTGCTGTAACATCTCTTGCTGTAAGTTTATCCAGCAATCCCTTCCACATATGTAATCTATATCATTTCACGCATTTCACCTGGCAAGATCCATTACGTATTGTCGCTGCTTATTGTGTTAAAAAACACTATTTCAAAAAAAAAACAACAAAACACTATTTCCAACATTCTTGCAATAATTTATCATGTCATAATCAGTATCAATCCTGTTACTGAGGTGATTCTTTTAAACCGCTGATGTAACTTTTGCACTCGTCACCAGTACTTTTTAATATACTTTGTAGAAACTAGTGAAAATCTTCAAGTTCATCTGTGCCATCGTAGTTGATACGTAACTTTGAAAAGCTATGTTATCTCAATTGTTATTTAAACAAAGACTACCCTGATATCCATTTCTCTGCTCATCTGCTATGTCCACAGACATGCACCAAATCTTTTCTCATATGTCATTCCCTCAGCCTTGAACCTAGTCCTTACTAAGTCCTTAGATATCTTCCAGAAAGTCCTCCTTCGGCAGCCAGACTAGCACTTAAATATCAGGCTGAAAAGATCTTTATCATATGTCTATTCTAACTGCCATGTGGGGCACCTATTAACGCACCTAGGTGCCAACCAAAAGGTCAGTGGTTCAAACCCAGCAGAGGCTGGAGGGGAGGAAGGTGTGAGAGTCTTGCTTCTGTAAAGATTCACAGCCTTGGAAACCCTGAGACAGTGCTGTTTTGTCCGGCAGCACTGCTATGAACTGGAATCGACTTGAGGGTAATGGGTGGGCATTACAACTGCTGGTCCTTGAATGGCACAGAGGCTTTGTGCTCTGCTACTAAAAGTTAGCAATGTGACCCGAGCTGCGGCGTTAAAGATCTGCTTCTGTAAAGATTGAGACCAAGACAAACCTTCCCCAGCTGAGTTCCACTCTGTAACATGTGGGGTTTGCCTTGAGTCCGAAGTGACTTCACAGCAAAGGAGAAAACATTTCACCTGGACCGTAAGCTTCTCCACGTGGAACGCCAAACACCGTCACACAGCTCACCCGCTGAAGTGGATTGCATTCCAACTCGCAACAACCGCACAGGACACTGCAGAACTGCCCCAGAGGACTTTCCAAAGCCCTCAATCTTTAAGAGAGAATTTTTCATCGCTCTTCTATGTGAGTGACTGGTGGGCTCGAACCACCAACCTTTCACTTAAAGAGTTTCATTTTAACCCACCAATGTTCTTTTGGCCAAACAAGTTTATGTTAACCCGTGTTTCGACATGCAAACCCATCTCTTGCAAGGATTCATCAAATATCAAAAGCAAGAGAAGAAAGAAAAAAAAGAGTTTAACATGACCAAACGTGGAACTAGGGAGGCCCGGAGGCCTCTTCCTGCAGCACTTACCTCCGCAATAAAGCACGCGAAGTGGGTAATCTGTATCCGGCCTGGCAGCGTTGCTCTTCGGGTCTCCTTTACAGTCAGGCCCGCTGGAATCAGAAAGGTCAGTAGCCATCTCACACACC